GGGCTCAGTTGTGAGTAGCAGAACCTCCTATTACAGGACTCTACGCAAGACTGTGTCTCAGCATGAGCACAGTTACAGTCCAAGGCCCAGCCACTGGCTCTACTTTCTATATATGAATGTCATCAGCCACCTTCTGTACCCTTCCAGCCCTGTGTAACCTGTTATGGTTACAGAATGAGTATTGCACCTGCAGGGATTATCTAAGTTTGGAAAGGAAGAAGGGAAAGAGGTGAGAATGTTCTTCTGGGCTTTTACTGAAAAAAAGGAAGTGATGCATGAGCAAAGCTTTAATTATATCAGACCTCTAGCTTGAAGGGAGCCTGAGAATTCCATTTCTTTTCAACTCTGTAAAGAAAAAACAGAGATAAAGAAGTTTTACTGGCCTTGGAGAGAGCCAGGAGGTAGTGTTCAGCTCAGTATGAAGGACAGCATGCCGTGGACAAACAGAAACAGGAGCCAACTGCCTGGATATTTAGAAAGACTTCATAGAATGCAATAACTAAATAGGAGTTAATTATTGAGTAGAGAACAAACAAATTTTTTGTTCCTTTACATTTTTCAGTTGGTGGGATATTTAATATCAAATAAAGGAAAATAAACGGTTTTCATTTAAGCACCAGGAGTATATAGAAGAACCAAGTGAGTGCATACTCAGACCTCACGGACCCCATGTTCTAAAGGCAGAAATTTTAATTTCAGATAAGTACAAGTACTTCAGAAAAGAAAGAAAGAAAATGCCTCTGTAATGTTAAAAAAAAAAATTAAGTATTTGAGGGTATATGTTTCTCTTAGGTCAAGTAAACATAGCATGATTAAATATTTCTTTGAAGATTTATCATCACCAACATCATCCTGTTTGGGGCCTTTCCAAGGCGTTGAAAATGCAAAGACTAATAGGATTGGCTCCTGCTATCAACATATTTACTGTGGTAAAGGAACTAGCGTGTAAGAAAAGATGTCAGATTGATTTTAGGATATGTTGAATTTGGGGTATTTGAGGCTTGATATAAATTTCAAAGCAGATAAATAGGGAGGGAAGGTGAGGCTTAAGTTCAAGGTAGATAGATGTTCAGGGCAGAGATAAAGGAAAACAGATACATTAAACAGCAAGTGTTAGGAAAATATTTTGATTGATTGCTTGGACAAGAGCTCAGAGCTCATACGTAAGAGGGGGGAACTGAACAAAGAAAAAGAAGTTAGATATGCTTTTGAAGTCCAGGGAAGGGTAGAAAGGGTAGCGTTAAAATACCATGTACCACTAACAGCTCTTCGATCAGCCAGCAGGAGCTGGGAAGCTTAGAGAGTGTCGTAAGAATCTTTATAAGGGAACTGAGGTGTCATTCAAGCCAGAAACATGAATTAAAGAAGTCTCGGGTACATGATGGAGACACCAGGAATTGCAATAGGTTTTCTGGAAGCTACAGTGTGGGCTAGAAAGTATTTAGCAAGAAATGAGAACTAGGTAATGTTGTAGTTTGCTTTCTATTACTTTGATAAACACCATGACCAGGAGCAACGTAGGGGAGGAAATGTTTATTCAGCTTACACTTCCAGGTCACTGTCCATCATCAAGATGTCAGAGCAGGCTCAAAAGCAGGAACTGAAGCAGAACCATGGAGGGAGGAACACTGCTTTCTAACTGTCTCTTGGGCTCATGCTCAACTAGCTTTTTTGTATGACTCAGCCCCATCAGCTGATATCACCCAAACCGGTGAAGATAATCTCTCACAGACATCACCACAGGCAACCTGGTCCAGGCAGTTTAAGTTTCCTTTTCTCAGGTGACTCTAGGTATGTCAAGTTGACAAGATTAAGCAAATTGCTTGCGGTTTTTTTTGTTGTTGTTGTTGTTGTTGTTGTTGTTGTTACTTTCTTCATTCTCATTTATGAGGATGCCACTAAAGACTCTTAGGAAGGTGAAGAGAATTGTCAGCATTGTGTTTGAGAAAGATCACCTACATACTGCATGCTGCAAGTTAAAGAAGTTAAACCAAATAAGAAACTATTGCATCTAAATGTTGAGAAGATGCTAAAAATAAGGGTAGCAATGGAGAAGGTAGTTGGGAAATACTAAGATAGTGCAGCCTTAACAACTGGTTAGGTGGAAAGTCTACAAGAAAGGCTTCATGGTGTGCTCACAATTCCTGGTAAGTTCTTTACCATGAGAACATTGAAAAGGAGTGAGCGTGTAGGGAGAGATTACAGGCTTGTTTCGGGATATGTTGTCCAGCGTGGGAATAAAGGTTGGATGTACCTGAGATAACTAATGAAAAGACCTGAGCAAGTGTTGCAGGTCAATAATAAATGGGGAATATATGCAGGACAACCAGAGAAGGTGGAAAGGAGTTGAGCAAAAGGAAGGAGGAGCAGGCCTAGCAGCAGAGAATATGAAGATCCTGTCTTGAGAGTGGGTGTATTGAGTTAGGAGTTTAACTGTCCTCACTGCTCAGATACATTAACACCCAGAGAACTCAGCATTTAGAGAACAATACTACCTTATTCCAAAGTATTTTTAGAACACTTAAGGTCAGTTGCCAGTTGTGTGCTATGTCTTATTTTTCCTCTTCCTTTTTGTCTTAGAATTTTGTCTTCTACTTTATTGTACTGGTTTACTCTAACAGTAACATAAAGGCTCAAAAGTTTGTTGTTTGAAAATGAACGAATGAGATTTGAGAAGCCTCTGGCTGTTGGTGTAGCGCTGTCCTGCACTCTTTACAGCTCCTTGTTTGGAGGTCTGCACAGAGTTGTGTTGTGGAATAACAAGAAGATAGCAAAGGATAGTAGTTGCTGCATGCCACAGTAAGCAGTGCTTACCTCAAATAACTAAACATTGTTAGTACATTTTAACTTTGACCATCAACATACACACGGGTTTTACAGACCAAATTTGGCAAATGAAAAGATCCACAGGGAGAATGACAAAGTCAGGAGGTTATCTAATAATACTACTTTATGGGAAATGATACACTGTCAAAATGTATGAAGAAATCTAGAAATTCACATAACTTTAAGTTTGCAAAGCAACAAAATGATACTATAAGAAAGTGGGAGTCTCAATGAGGAAGGAAGAGGGTATGTGGTAAGTTAAGACTCCTCTGTCTCTGTAGCAGGAAATCAAAAGATAAAATTTAAAGCTGGTAACTCAAATAGGAACAGGAATATATTATGTAAAGCTATGGAAATTATCACATAACTAAAAATAAATGCACAAAAATGACTTGCTTCTTAAAGATATACCCAAATTTTCCAGTAACTTCATTAGTCTTTAAAAAAAAAAAAACCACTTTCCTTAATAGTCTCACCCATGTTGACAAATTGGTTTATTTTTATGTTATTTATTGTACATGTTTTGTGTTATGTTATTATTTTAATTTTAATTTATTATTTTAAGTTCATTTAAAATACTAGCATTTAGTTGTATCTGGCCTATAGAATTATAAGTATTTTGTCGACTAAATGTTGGCATAATAGAAATTCACTGTAATAGCAACTTTTTGAAAAGCTGTTGGGCTGGAGAGAGAATTAATGAGAGCCTCAGAAGTGGAAGCTAGGTATCTTCGGGCTTTGAGGAGCAGGGATCTTTGAAGTGTTTGATCTAGGTGAGGCCACAGTTAAGTGAGCTTCAATTCCTCTTGGTCAGTGCCACCGTTGTTCCCCCTAGCTCCTCTCGTGTGTGTGTGTGTGTGTGTGTGTGTGTGTGTGTGTGTCTATCCGTCCGTCCATCTGTCCATCCCACAGAGTCTAATTGGTGCTGACTATATATTCTACATATGAGGCCATCCACTAGAAAGCAGCTGACCTACCAGGAGCCATGCCCTTTAAAAAAGACTGTCTCTCCCTCTCTCCCTTCTCCAGAAACCAAGAGATATTATTGTTTTGAAACTTAGTCAGTTGGATAAATATGATAAGTAAAAGCTGGTTCACTATTTTTAATGCTGATGCTGAGTTGTGGTGGTTTAAATGAAAATGAGAATGTTCCCCATAGGGTCATATTTGAATACTTGGTCCCTTGTTGGTGGAACTGTTTTTGGAAGGATTAGGAGATGTGGCCTTGTTGAAGGAGATGTTTCACTGGAGTTTGAGATTTCCAAAACTCACACCATCCCTAGTCTTTCACTCTCACTTTGGGCTTATGGAGCAGTTGTAAGATCTCAGCTATTGCTCTCATGGCATGCCTGCTTGTAGATGAAGCTGCAGGCCTGCTTTTTGTCCTGCCAGGCTCCCTCATGGCTAGCTTTACACCTGAAATAACAACACACAAACTGTATTCATATAGACACTGCCTGGCCCAATATATCTAGCCTCTTACTGGCTAATTCTCACATCTTGGTTAACCCATTTCTCTTAATGTGTGTAGCACCACGAGGTAGTGGCTTATCGGGAAAGATTCAGCATGTCTGACCTGGTAGCTGGCTCCATGGCATCCTGTCCCAGAGAGGAGAGGCATGGCGATTGCCTCACTTCCCTCTTTCTCCCAGCATTCTGTTCTGTCTACTCCACCCACCTAAGGGCTGGCCTATCAAATGGCCAAGGCAGTTTCTTTATTAACCAATGAAATCAACACAAAACAGAAGACCCTCCCATATTATCACCTGCTCTTATTGCTCCCCACCATGATGGTCATGGACTAACCCTCTAAGACTGTAATCAAGCCCCCAGTTAAATGCTTTCTTTTATAAGTTGCCTTGGTCATGTGTTTCTTCACAGCAATAGAACAGTACCCAAGACAGTTGTTTTGTTTCTTAAAATGTCTAACTCCTGGAAAATAATAATGCATTTTAATTTTTTTATCTTACTGTGTATATGTTAGTCTGAGCATGTACATGTCATAGCACAGTGCGAAGGACAGAGGACAACTTTCCAGAATTGGTTCAATCCTTCCACCAAGGATTCCAAGGATCAGAGTATAAAAGGCCTGTGCCACATAGCCACCCACCTCTGGCACTCACTGTTCTCCAGTGTAAGTTCAGTTGATGAAGGTTTCCTCCTCTCTTTTCCAGGGTGCTGATAAGACTGTGAAAGGCCCAGATGGACTGACTGCCCTTGAAGCCACTGACAACCAGGCAATCAAAGCTCTTCTCCAGTAATGGATGGATGGACTGATAACTTGGGAAGAATAACTCTCCTGTGGCCTCACACTGCTGCCTGTCTGTCTGTCACTTTCTATCTGCCAGCTTCTTCAGCTAAATACTTTAAGAAGGGTGAGAGGAGAGAGAAATTCATAACAAGTCAGACTACCAAAGGGGGAAAACGTGTTTTGGAGGAGCAGTGGGGAATGTAATCGGGCTTTTACTGGGATTCCTGATCAAACCAGCCTCTTTTCCATTTCTAGTAAAATATACAGCTTATATTCCCAAGGGAGAGCAAAAATACAGTGTGGGGATCATTGGACCTTCTCAGCTCCCTAGCTAATTTATTAATTAGTGTGTTGAAGGTCTGGCCATACAAGGCCGACTCTACTTATTGGGCAGCCCTAGCTGTGAACAGTAATGGCTGCTGTTAATGTCAACTTAGGGTGCTGAGATAAGCAATTAGCTACAGCCTTCTGCCTTAAGAATGCACTCTCCTGGGGGTTTCTGGCTAGGTAAGAGCGCTGCTATGGTTAGTGACCAAAATCTTGAATGACTTAAATATTTTTGTGAAAGCTCAGATAAGTAGCGCACCCCTAAATTGCTGGATGACTAAACTTTGGATTTTCTCTCCCCTTTCACATCAATTTTATGTCTCGTTAGATAAAACTGACTAGTTTTATTTATAAAATGTTAAATTCTAGGAGCCTAAAGGAGGAATCATTCCAGTATGCTTATTTCTTTTTTTTTTTCTCCTTTAGACTTAGACATTTATATAACATTGAAACACTTTGAGACTCCTGCTGGTAGTAAAAGGAGATTTAAAAATAAATCATAGCCATAAACGTGTTAGTATCTTATAAAGAGAGAACAGTTGTCTTAGTACTTACGGATTGTCTTCATTTGCTGTTTGAGTGAATCAGCCTTAGTTGTGTTTTGAGAATGAAGAATATTCTTTGGGATGCCTCTCTGAGACCTACCATGGATGCTGATTTTTTTTTTTTATTTTTTATTTTTAGTGCACCAAAGCTATCACTGGGGTGAGATGCACTATTTGAATAGATGGAACCTCATCCCTTCAAAAATGTGCTTGTTACCAGGTCTCCCTGAGCTGTTGATTGACTCTAGCTGGGCCAACACTGCTTCACCTCTGTAGTGTTTTTTCTTTTAACAATCATACATTGCATACAAGTGACAACTTCACAATACAGTCTGTGTTCTTAGAATACAGTGCCCTAAAATGGTGTTCTTAGGACCTGCAGAAAATTTAGACTTATCTCTAAATTTTAATTCATGAATGATAAATGATTAAATTTGATATCCTACATTTAAAGTATTAGGATTTCTTTGACTTGCCATTCATACAGGCTTACAAAAACTATTACAGTCTTTCCTTAGCCAAGTCATGCAATAATTGAATGTACCTCAAATTTTTAAAGGGTGGGTGGGATAGGGACTTATATTCAGATTATGGATAATTAAAAAACTAATATGATTTTTTTTAAGGCAATGTAGCATTCTATTAATAGTTAAACTATTACCACGAACAGCCTGGCTAAATAACTTTTGATCAGTTGATGGATGGATGGTTGGTGTGTGTGTGTGTGTGTGTGTGTGTGTGTGTGTGTGTGTTTTCTCCCATGAACTCTTTTTTATCCTGTGGCTTTTTCACTTTCAACTAGCCTGACCCTGTAATTTTTCTATGTCCAAGAAAACAATCATGAAACAGTAGTTTAAATATTTTGGTGTATTTGGCTAACTCTGCTGTCTTAATGCAACCTACTAGAGTTGGACATCCTACACTTGATCTTAGCCAAAAGGCCACAAAGCTTAGAGTTGGACATCCTGATAGTAAGTGGAGGACACTCATCAGTCTGTAACTATCAATGTAATGGAACAGGGTGTTTTTGAGACCTTGGTTTTCACCTCCTGGCATACTGCTATTTTAAAGGCTTGAATTTTAACCCTTTACACAATTTTTGGTTTTTCTTTCAGAGTGTTTTGTTAGAGTTGGCTATTGCAGAGAATATATTGTCTTATCATTCCTAACCTTGGGTCTGCTTTCTACAGTCATTATGGTACTGAAACCATAGGATTCTTTGTACAGTTTATCCTGGTGTTCCTTGTAATGCAGTAAGGGACTGTTTTGCCTCCCACCCCCCTTTGTTGGCCATTTTGTAAACCGTAGCTATGAAGTGATTGCTTGCAAAAATAGCATATAAACATAGACTAGGATAGACTGACCAGGATGGTTTACAGTTTCTTTAAAAAATAAAATAAAAAATAAAAAAACTAGGTTATTTATAATGTATTTCTGAATCACTTGGCAGAGAAATTCATGACACTTAATGTTAATATTTTTGAATAAAGGAAGCTAAAATGTCTGCTTTTGGTACTACATGCATTAATAAAAGGTTAAGTTTTGTTCTCCACTAAAGTACTATTTAACATCTAGAAAAAATCTGCATGTTCTATAGTTTTATATCAGATCCATCATTTCATATGCACTGTATCAAATAAAAACAGATAATTTGCCTATTGGTGGTTAGCGTACTAACAAATCCCCCCACAGCTTCATGCCGGCATCTATAGATTTGAGTTCTAATACAGCACTTGCATATCCCAGCTCACCTGTCTGGAAGCAGCTGCACACGAAGAAAGGCAGTAACTGCAGCATGTGGAAGCTCAAACTAGTAGCCTTCTAGTCATTTCTTCTTTTCCCCCGATAACGAAGCTTCAATTTGTGTGTACTTGATTTTTTTTTAACTTCAGCTCAGCTGCTGTTTTCTTCATGTAATATTGTATACTTGGTTGTGTATAGAAGAAGCTGGTAAGAGTGCCCTCCTACATAAATAAGCAATTGCAGTGTTTTGCATGCAAAATTTAAAAATTTAAATTGTCCTGATTCTATTTTGTAAATGGAGAAACAATCAATCTTTCTAAGCAGTATGGAGGAAGACTAGTGCTCTGTGCATTTTTGGTATATCTGAGTTCATGGTTACACAATGTCATTCCTTTGACACAGTTGGGTTTTTCATAAGTATCCTAGTTCATGTACATCCGAATGCTAACTAATACTGTGTTTAAGTTTCGTGTTGCAAGAACAAATGGAATAAACTTGAATTGTGCTACAGATAACATGTCAGAAACATGTTTATCTCCCAGTCACTGTCGCCTTCATTCCCAGACTTCCTTCAGCTCTCCAAAAAACTTGCCTGACCTGAGGTTTTAATCTGATTTTATCCCGCTTCTAGAAGAAATAAGTGGGAAGAGAAGCCAAATATTAAAGACCTACTGGGAGTAGATTTTGCTCTCATGGAGAGATTACTTCAGTATTAGTCATCCGATTCCCAGTGTGGTTGTATACGAGTCTGGGAACCCTCCTTACTGACTGAGAGCAAGACATTGCCAATAGAGCATCAGAGGTATTGACTGATGTTGAAGAAAGTAGGGTCATAGGGCTGTCTTTGCAATCCTTTCCATGGCTCTCTTAGGTTGCTGTTTGCTACTTGAAGACTTACATTTCCCAAATTAAATGACCACTTATACATTTTAGAGTATACTTTTCTGGCTGAGTGATCTCTTTGAATCTCAAAACTGAGCCACATTACATATGAAATCAGTTTGTTTCTGTTGTAATCCTTGTTGATACCAGAAAACTTTTTAAAGATATCCATTAATAAAAACAAGGAAACAAAAACATTACCAGTGCTAAGATACAGCAAACCCTGTTATTGACTAGAATATAAACAGATACCTGATACGGCTTTAGGTGTATGTGTTCCCAGAAAAATTTTAAGATACTTCTCATTTTAAGGTGTTGGTGGCACACACCTTTAATCCCAGCACTTAGGAGGCATAGGCAGGTGAATCTCAGTGAGTTCAAGCCCAGCCTGGTCTACAAAGTGAGTTCCAGGACAGTCAGTGCTATACAAAAACCGTGTCTCAAAAACCAAAGAAAAAAGAATCAAAGTCTATAAGAAAAGGCTTCAATCTGATTAAATGCCAAAAAGGAATGGAGCCCCTTCAAATAACACTTGAAGGGCAAACTAGTAAATATGGGTGAAAGGCATACCTCAAAGGAGTGAACTTAATAGCCAACTTGTTTTGTCTTTTTTTGTTTTTTTGGTTTTTTTTTTGTTTGTTTGTTTGTTTTGTCTTTAGAGAGCAGCTGCACAGAACTTTCCCACTGCACAGTAGACCACAATTGATCTGACTTCATCTGTCTGCAAGATCAGTGCTCTCTGAATGTGGTCCCTAGACCATATTGCCCTAACTTAGAAAGTTGGTAGAAATGCAAATTTGTTAAATCCCAGCTGAGACCTAAGAGTCAAATTCTAGGCTGGGCCTTTGGAGTATTTTGAGAACCCTGAAAGTAGCCATAGAGAAAGAAAGCATCCAATAGGAAACTCGCCAGGCATGGTTTCCTAGAGATAAGAGAATAGATGTTCATTGTAAAATGAAGTTCTCAACACCCCCAAAAAATCATCATATGAGCTTGAAGAGTGTGCTTTGGCTAAAAGAAGGTTCAACTGTGAACCTAAGGATGCAATACTATTAGAATGATCCTTGGTTTGTTTTTGTTTTTTTAAAAAAAAAATAATAATGTATGTCATACCAGTTATTCTAGACAGTATTTCTGTAGTTCACCAGCCCAGAGTTATCTCCACGGCTAAATTCCTAGGACCTATGCTTTATCCAAGCCCCGCCCCCTTTTTAGTCTCTGCAGTCCCCAAAACGAGAGTATGCATGAGTGTTTGGGAAAGACTGTGAACCGCTGTCACACTTGCTACCACCAGGTCCAGCTGGGATTGCTCTCGCAGCAAACATTTTATGGCCACCAGTCTGAAGGGCACGAAGGCTGAGCTCCACCCTGCAGCGTGGAGAGTGGAGCCCACTACAGTGGATGCACATCCACTGCCCAGCATCTCCAGGATCCCCACATTGCAGAATCGCCTTCTGCTCCTGACTTGATGATGTCATTCTCACCCAGTGATCTTGCTGAGTTGTAAGTCAGATCAACACACATAAGCCTTTTCAAGGCTGTTTTACTTCATTGAAATACAGTTGTTGAAAAAAAAGTTATCAGCAGCTTGAATAGTGCTTGACCGTCGCAGACATTCCCCTGTCCTGAGCTAAAGCTATCGGACCATTACACATTAACATATGAGAGACGTTTTGATTCTCTGCGTACAGCTGAAGACTGAATTTTTTTTTTTTTTGAATTTTCGAGACAGGGTTTCTCTGTAGCTTTTGGTTCCTGTCCTGGAACTAGCTCTTGTAGACCAGGCTGGCCTCGAACTCACAGAGATCCGCCTGCCTCTGCCTCCCGAGTGCTGGGATTAAAGGCAAGACTGAATGTTTGAGCAATGCATGACACTACCTGAGAGAGCCAGTGTCCCTGACCTTTGACCAAGAAGCCCCTGCATAAAGCTAGTACAAACCCAGATGGATGAGATGGAAATACACAGGTAACGGTCACATTATTTCATTGAGATGCTGACCACCAGGTCAAATGCAGGTCACCCTGCCACAGTGGGATACGCTGAAACACAGCTGTAAAGGACAGAAGGGAACAAAAGGTCTACCCAGCCACCCTAGCAACCTGTGTAGCTCAGCTGCTGCCACAGCAAGGGCAGCCTTCATCTGTACAGTTCTGGATAGAACTCGAGGTCACATGTGGCAGTAGTCATAGCAACAGCATCTTGTGTAGAAGAAAATAATAACTTGGAGCGAATGGACACTGATTTTGAGACTGCTACTAGGTAACTACATTTGTAAAGAATTTCCAAGTTTCCTGTCAATCTTCCTGGTGTCTGATAACGATCACCATTCATCCCCGGAGCAAACTACCAAGTCTGGGTTGCAGTGGCTTGTGACTTGCTGGTCAGGTTTCTCAGATCTGAATCTTTTTTTTTTTTTTTTGGTTTTTCGAGACAGGGTTTCTCTGTGGCTTTGGAGCCTGTCCTGGAACTAGCTCTGTAGACCAGGCTGGTCTCGAACTCACAGAGATCCGCCTGCCTCTGCCTCCCGAGTGCTGGGATTTCAGATCTGAATCTTGTGAGAGTGGAATATATTCCTAAGAAATCCTCTAAGGGAATGGCCTGCTCACCACTGGCAGGCAGGCAGCGAGGGTGGGAACCCTGGAGAGTTGTGCTTTAGAGCTCTGATTGCCCTAATGGAACCAAGCAGACCTCAGCACTCCTCTTCAGGGAACTTAAAATGCCTCTGGACTCGGGGACAGGACCATGCTTACTTAGCAAAAATGGTTTCCAAATATTTGCTCCACAAAACACCGAGGGCATGGAGAATTGATGTTCATCTTTTTCCTCCCTCTCATGACTGTACCCTTGTGTAAATCCTGTAGTTCACCTCATCTTCGGTAACTTTGAATGTCCCACGTCACTATAATTCTTGCAAGGGACAAAGTCCATAAAAACCCCAGTGGAAATGTGGACAGTCCCCACAGGCAACAGAAGAGCTCACCAGGCCATTGTTTAATAGTCCAGAGAGAAACAAGTAATTCCTCCCCAAGACAACTGTCCTAATGTGTTTTGGTTGCACGACGCAAGTAGATGATCTTAAACACTTAAATTCCTCCACTTCCAAAGGTTTAAAGGAAGAAATATATATATATATATATATATATATATATATATATATGTAAATATGAAGCATCTTTAAAAATGAGTATTACCTTTAAATTTCAACGGACATGCCTTTAAAAGGAAGTCTAGCTGTTCAAACATCAGAGAATTTTTTTTAATCTAATCTTTCTCATCCAGGGCAATTTTTTTCACTTGCTGGGGTATATTTTCTCTCTCAAGATGCTCACTATTTTTTTGCTGAGTCAAAGGTATGTCTCAACAGGCCTGCTCTTAGTACTGAGCCCAAGGAAGGTAGCTGTGGTTATGAGTTTCTCTTGCCGGAGTTAGCAAGGTTGGATTTGCCTGGTGCTTCCTGACGCGCTGTGTCTAGAGTTCCGTCATTCTGACAGATAACCCTTGTGATGCTTTTCTACAACTTCCACAGGCTTTGGCTCCAGTCTTGTCTTTGAAATTGCCTGCTCATGAGAGAGGATATATGTTTTCTTCCTAAGTCAGAGGGGGAGGTGTGGAAACATTCCAAATAAAGGATTCTGGACCACGCACCTTCAGATTCAGCCCACAGCTATGGAGCCGCACTTCCTGTTAGCAAACCCAGAGGAAATCCTGGCACCAGTGACCAAGTTGCTTGTATCCACAAACACCCATCCGATAAAAACTTAACAGGTTCTCTTTGCTCAGCTCTGCTCCTCTCCCTCCCGTAATGAGTCACAGTGAGTCTGAGAAAGTACAATTAGGTCTTCCAAATCTCCATGAGATAATACAGCAACTCAAGAGAAACATATACCAGTGGCCCCAACTCCAACCATATTTAGGGGTTCAAAATGCTAAGAGCACCTGTCCTTGAACCCGAAGGAAGCTCTGTAAACTGATCACAGGTTGGGCACACAAAGCAGAAAGTGATTTTAAGGCTGTTTCCAGTGATGGATTTTGAGAAGGCAGTTGTGCTGGGTTTTCAGAGATCTAAAGGCAGTTTGCTTTCAAGCCTAAGGGAGGCTCCTTAAAGTGTGGAAACAGGAACTGTTCGAGAAACAAGGATGTTGGACCATCTGGCTGACTCCTCGGGTACTTTGTCCAGAAAAAGCCCTCCAGATCACATCTCACCCAAGTTCTGGGCCCTTACCCCCAACTGCCTTATATATCTGGGAAATCACCACCCAGCCACCTACACTAAACATTGCTTGTTTTCCTAGTAAAGTGCTTAATACACTTAATTTACATTCTTGTAACCACCTAAAATTAAAGCCTGTATTAAGTCTTGACTTCAGTCATAGTTGCTTTTCAGTCATTTCCACAAAGAGCCACCAGTGTCGAGCTGAATTAATGTCCCATTCACACTGCCGCCCCTGGTGCAGGACATGGTGCTGTCCCAAGTCCCAGCAGGAAGTCTTTCCCACCTCAAGGACTCTTCCGTTCAGCCTCCCCAACACCCTGCTTTTACTCACTCATCAATTACAGTGTCACTTGCGTCCTCCATAAAAAGAAACTGAAGTCCCTGATTCCAAGACCTCAGACTGTGACCCTATTT